CTTGTGTTTCCATCAAAGCCAATTCTAATGAATCTTAATGCTTCAATAAATCATGACAATTTCATTTGTAGCAAATTACATACGGAAGATTTTATCTTTAAACATTGCTTTAAAGAGTGAATGAATTGAACCCTACTTCAATTCTATCATAGAACCCCTAAAAGGTTTTTAGAAAATTGCTTTAATCAGATATATGTCTTAAATATTAGTTCAATCCTTGTACCTGAACTGGTTTACACATCTTTGGGGCATACTGACAAATTTTTTGATTGGCAGAACTTTGTCGATTAGAAATAATTCTCCTTGTACATTGACTTCCATGAAGCAACAACTAATTCTTTGAATTTGTCTTATTCACTAGAAAGCCATCTTTAAACTTTATTAGTCACAGTAATGCAGTTTAATAACAACAATGTGATACCTTTTACGGGGAATCTGTTCCGTTTTCCATTAAATTTTGTTTTGTTTTAAAGTGTGTATATTCATATCTCTACTTTGTTTGCATTATATTAGAAAATATATTTTAAGGGTTAAGAACAAAGGAAAACTGAGATGCCAATGTGTGAGCAATAATTAATTAAGAAATGTGTGTTTTTTTTAACTTTGCAGCCCCTCTCCTCCCACTTGTAGATCCTCATCCATTAGAAGGCTATTACTCTCATTTGTAGTCTCTCTGTCCTCATTGCAGCCCCTACCATTTCCTGCACCATTGGCATCAACAATTGAATTTTAAGGCACTTTATCAGCTTTCTGGTTCAGTTCACCAGCTGCCCCCATATACTCTGGGTGTTTCCAAGGGCTAATCAGCCAGCTCGACAAACAAGATATTGCTGGAGTTGAATAAAATCTGAACAGCTACAGTACAGTAGAGCATGAATGCAGTGCAGGGAATCTTGCACTGTCTGTCTGAATTTTGGCAAATGGAGTGCAGTTTGACAGCCAGATGATTAGTCTCCAGTTCTGGAGTCACCAGCACAGCTGGGGATGGATAGTGTGCAGGAAATGTGAAGATTTGTGTTCCAAGGCACAATTCTGAGCACCCAGGCAATCGTTACACCACAAGTATTTGTGGAATAGCCATGGATATTGCATGTGAGTGAGCCATCAGGTGCAGTGAAGGAGAACAGTGGAATCTTATCTTTTTTGCTCTTACCTTTACACAGTAACAGAGCATGCAATGTTTGAGTGAAAAACCACATTGGTGATGGAGCAGTGCATCTAGATATAATCCTTGTCATGGAGCAAGAAGGTCTTTGAATTGCCAGTTGGGCAGAGAAGTGCTAAGAGGAAGATAGCTATCTCTCTGAGAAAGGATGAAACTATGTTATTATTTCCAAGTGAAGGGTCTGGCCATTTGTCCTTGTTTATTCACTCCATACCTTTGCCTAGCATTATTTGCAAACAACAGAACCAAAGTTCTGTGCAAGTTGGTAATAACAGATGAGATGGCAGCTCTCCTTAGAAAATAGAGGGGAGACACAACCATTAACCTTTCTGGAGATTAGTGCCAGAAAACAGGAGCCAAATATGGGTGTGGACCCTTGGGAAGCGATTGGAAGATCCATTCTTACACGTGAGCCCATCCATTGAAAGAATGCCCTAACTCATGGAAGGCTGTAAGCAGTATAGTGTTGAGTGCACGCATACCAGCTTTTGGAATATGTACCGTTCAGGTGCAGTGTTGTTGCAACATGCAAGGATGGTAACCAGGTGCCACCCCCTGCCCAGCAGTTGAGGTTCAGTATATGTGCATGCTCACCAGAAAAGGGCTGGGGCAGGCAGAGACGGTATGTCATGGGGCACCTTTATCATTACCATTTCCCATGGTCCTTCTTACTATATTCTCAACAGTCAGTGGTGAAGGAAGAACCAAAGCCAGCCTTTCCTTGTGATATATTTATTCAGAATGAAATATTACAAGCATATCCTGATGAAATACAATTTTTCTGATAGTGACCTGCATGGATATTCTTAACCCACCTAGTCAAACATGTTACAAGAAATCGATGAAGCAGGTAGGATTTGAACCTGGGCCTTCTGGGTCAGAGGCAGTGACACTACCACTGTGCCAACACAGTCAAACAATGACCTTCATACCTTTCTTTGAAACAAATTAACTTGAAAATCAAATTAACTAATTCCCAGAGGAATTAGCCCTTAAAGGAGCAATATAACAAAGAGCTAAATTTTAAAGGGAATAAATTTAAATTAAAATAACATTGTGGATTTAGATGATATACACAGCCCCTGAAATGCCCGTTGGTCTTGGAAAGCCTCAAGCGTACTAACGGATACCACATGCTTCCTCTTTCCAGGATCAAGCAGACATTAACACTAAAGTGAAGCAAACATGATGCTCTGCCTGGACTGTTAACAGCCAGCTTGACCAGGCCCAGCAGCAGACCCTACTCTTTACATGCTTGAGTATGAAATCAATGAAGAAAATGTACTTAGCTAATGAATCATTCTTTACATTAACAAAAATCAAAAGTTTAACAGAAATTTAATTAATTATATGCAAAGTCTTTGTGGTGTGTGTATATAATGTGTGTGCGCGAGCGCACATTGGGGCTTGTGTAATTAATCCCAGCCCCATGGTCCCCACTGGTCATGTGGAGTCTCAAATATATCAGAAGGCACCAACAACCCCCTTGTCAGGAACATGCTGGCACAGACATAACAGACACAGAAGTAAAGCACATAGTCAGACCCAGCAAGCTCTGCAATGGCTCACTGCCAGGATCTGCTGATTGTCACCCTGGCCGGACTTAGGCACAGACCCATGAGGAAGATTCACTCTGCCCATTTCCCTCCACATCAGGTGACCAAATATCAGCTGGGTGGGGCAGAAGTGAAAACAGAAATTGAGCAGTAATAGAAAATGGCTGCAATTTTGCACAACCTGTAAAATGTCTCATAGAAAATCTTGAGAATTAATCAAACTGAATCTTAACAGTTGACAGCCTCTTAAAGCAGCACTGTAACAAAAATCAAATGTTGAAATGAAACTGACATATGGTTATGTGCTCAAGTAACCATCTGAACAATACCCTTTACCTGACTGTACCTAACTGAAAATGATAAAATTAACACCTCTTGACATAGGCACTGTCGATACAGCAAACTCCCACATGGAGGCCTCCCTATTGTTTTGAAAGCTTTTGTTGTGGTGCTCCCACTGGCACTGAGATGCTAAGGATGACTGCCACAGGTATCTCCACAATAGGTATACATGTATGAGCAGTGTGCCTCTACTTCTCCATTAACTATAGGGGAAGCACTTGCAGGACAGCCACATTTGTACAGTGTCATATCCACAGATAAACTTTGGGGTTCATTTGGCTGACTTTTATGTTTCTGTTCGTTGATTAACCCTTATTGTCACGAGGTATTTTGTTCGAGAAACCTGATTTATACGACCCTCTTGTTTTCAGGCCATTCGGCAACCAGCAAGATGAAATGGATTTGGAACACAGAGCTGAGTTATTAGAAATATTGTGGGGAAAGGGCAGACATGCTTGCATGGAAGATATTTTGGAACCAGTTGCCAAAGTGACCAACTCTAGGGTAATAAATCAAGGGATACATTAGTATCCAAGGAGGGGGATGCCTAACTAACAGTTCTTGAAGGACAGGTGTGGTATTGGGCAAATGCAATCCACGATGAACTGGATTATTGTGATGCGAGCTTCCTTCGTACCCTGATCAATGATTTGTCTCCTCAGCTAGATGACTGAATGGCCTTATAGTGCAGGATCAATATGCTCCATTCTGGTTTCTTTCTCTTCCTCTTAAGGGCATACCACTCTACCACATCTTATTTCCTCAAGTTTCACACATCTCTGGAGGGGTAATACTGAGCAAAGGGCAGTAGAGTAAGAAACACCTGAGTGAATGTTTTGGAGGATACCCCACAACCTATGGACCAGAACTGCACCTTTATCAATCCTACGGCCTGTTCAGTGGTGGTCTTTATGCTGAAATAGCAGTAGTTTTAGTGACTCTATGTCTCTCTTGTATTGTTGCCACAATTATCATCAGCTATTTTTTCAATGGATAGCAAGCCATCCTTGAAATTTCCAGTGACATGAAAAGCCTTGGCACCTGTGATTGTCTCCAGGCATAGGTTACATACTTTGCATGTACTTAAAGACAATGTTTATGGTGAGTGTACACTAGCTGTAGAGGGAATGTAACCCCTTCAAAATGATAAATATCTCTTGCTGCCTAGTCTAGTGCTTTATGGTCACATTGGTGCATTTGGCCCCATGGAAAAACTCCAGTACTCTCTCTTACAGGGCATCATCATAGATTTGATACTCTGATGGACAGGCACTTGCAATATGCCACACAGGTTCCCAGAGAAGTCATTGTCACTTGCCACTGGCAAGTTGTACCCACATGACTGGCAAGGCCTGCAGGTACTCTTCCAGGAGGGACACATATCAGAACCCATTTGGTTCAATTGGCACGGTGCCTGGTGGCATTGCTGCTCCACCATGTTCAGGAAATCCTCCCTGTCTCTCATTATCACCTCCCTGTCCCTCAGTATCATTTCCCTGTCCCTCAGTATCACCACCCTGCCCCTCAGCATCACCTCCCTATCCCTCAACATCCCCTTTCCACCTCACAGTGTCATCTCCTGCCCCTCAGCATCACCTTTCTGCCCCTCAGCACCTCTCCCCGCCCCTCAACATCCCCTACCCACCCCTCAGCATCATCTTCCTACTCCTCAAAATCAAAGACCCCTCCCACCCTGATTATACTCTCTTCCACCCTCTTCGGTTGGGCAGAAGATACAAAAGTTTGAATAACGTACGAATAGATTCAATAACAGCTTCTTCCCTGCTATTATCAGACTCTTGAATGAACCTCTCAAATAATTCTGATCTCTCTCTCTCTGCACCTTCTCTGCAGCTGTAACACTGTATTCTGCACTCTGTTCTGCTACCCTGATGCACTTTGTATGGCATGATCTGCCTGTATAGCATGCAAAACAACACTTTTCATTATACCTTGGTACACGTGACAACAATAAATTAATCAAGCAATCACAGTATCACCTCCCTGCCCCTCATTATCATGGAGCTGTTGCTGCTGATCAGCTTCTCAACACCTCAGCCACCTAAAGAATAGCTGAGCCCCATGTCCAGGGAAAGCCTCACATGCCAACAGCTGTATGTGACCAGTTGTGTGGATCAACTCCTGCTGTGTCTCATTGACCTCTGAAAGCGTAACTCTGCAACTACCCCAGTGTCTCCAACTGAAGCATCATAAGTCATGTTTTCTGTGTTTATTCCACCTTTTGCATCAGAAATTCCTCCATGTGCTCAGACTGGCTGTCTGCTGTGCAGTCATTTCATCTACTTGGAATTGCTGATGATCCAGTCGGTTTCACCCCTGTAATATGTTTTCACATGGCTGATTCATTTCCCCCTTTCACATGTGTTGCTACAACCCTGGACACCTCCACCAAAATTGCTGGAGAGCAGGAAACCATCTGGAATCTGCAGGCTGCTGAGCACCATCATTATCTAGTAGACATACCCCGAACCCATTCCAGCCCTAGAATGTTAATTCCATCCACTGTGTTCTCACCCTGAATGATCTCACAAAGCTACTTGAATAACATTGATTTCAACAATAGGAAAGAATAGAGGAGCTCTGCTTATCATGCCCCAGAAGTCTCTGCAGACCAGTAACCAGCAGAAAGATACCTCAAACTATAGAAAGAAGGTGGAAATAATTCCAATGATTGTGATCCCCGTCTATTCAATCATCAGTGCATCTTCCAGAAAATCTCCTCCCCCTAAATTGCATTTCTCAGATTGTATAACTCTGGGGAGTGAGAAGTAGATTTAATGATATGACCCATGTGGAATGAAGTAGGATAGGATGATGGAACTCTTAGTTTGATCCTTTCTTCTTGTACGTTCATATGTAGCTCTTTCGTGTCACTTCTCTCACCTTTAACAGCCACCAGATACTCAGCTCCTTCTCGGGTTTCATGAATTCTTCTCCTTCACAATGACAGCCACATTTCCTTCTTCCCCTGATCAGAATTTTAATCATTACAGTGATACCTGCCTTGGCTGTCCTGTCAAACACTTGAACCGTGGGCGGAGATTTTCAATTCTTTCATGGGATGTGGCGTCACCAGCTGGGCCAGCATTTGTTGCCCATCCCCAGGTGCCCTTGAACTGAATGGTTTGCTAGGCCATTTCAGATGGTAGATAAGAGTCGATCACATAGTTATAGGTCTGGAGTCACACATAGACCAGAACAGATAAGGATGGCAGATTTCCTTCCCAGAATGACATGTGTGAACCAGATGGGCTTTTACAACAATGAACAATGGCCGTTATTAGACTTTTAAGTCCAGAATCTTTCACTGAATCCAAATTCCTCCATCAGCTGTGGTTAGATTCAAAACCAGGTCCCCGAGTCACTTGCCCAGAAACAATACCACTATGCCATTATTTCCCAAAAACCGCTTCAGTACTGAGATAGCAGAAACTGTTCCATTTTCTGGTATTACGTATAGTGCCTGTAGACTGATCAGACATCTCACTGAGCACGTGGTCTTGAGTACAGTCACACACAAGGGTTATAGCAGCCAATCCTGGACACCACTACAACCTTGACAGACTGATAGATAATATACATACAGGGACAATAATGATAGAGAAATTGAAACTCAGACATCAGTCACATAAAAGACACTGTGAATTCTAAAAGACCAAGTAAAAACAAGACATTAAAGTTTATATCTCTGCTTGAGCAAAACAGAAACTAAAGTCATTTATATGAAGAGAATAGGTCTGGCCAAGGGGCTTCTGACAGCTGAAAACTAAATCATAAAGCATATTAGATTACGAGATGTGTCGGTGAATGTCATATAGAGTTGGGGAAATGAACAGTTTTATGGATGTTTGGTATGTCTCAAAATCAATCCCTTTCAGCGACATTTTTTCCTGTGTGGAGCTATGCCGTTGTAACTGAACTCATTGCAAAATCTGGACCTCAAATTCTCATTGTTAATAAAAACAAAGTAACCAAATGGTTTTGAAAAAAATGTTTTTCTTTGTTTTACGTGATTGAATTAATTTCCATCGTGCGCTTGTGCACTCGTAACTATACATTCCATTATGTTTACTCAAAGCTGTGCAATTTTTGTACGTCAAAAAGTCTCCCTCCTGTTCTCTCTCCTTGCTATCATAACAACCTCAGAAAACTTCCTCCTTACATTAAAGTGATATTCCAACCTCTGATAAGAGCCATCCTTGTAGCTTCTAAGACAGGGACTGTCCAATTAGTGACAATCACTGGTACATTCTAGTTAGTCTTTGTGGTGCTTTCAGACTGTCTGAACTGATTTTACTCAATTCATTAAGTAATTTTCAAGAGATTTAAAAAATGCTTTCATCCCATCAGTTTGAGCTGAATATAAACCCAAGGCAGACATAATAATTTTGTCACTCACTCCCCTGAGAATATTTATGATAGAAATTGACCGTCTTATCAAATAAGATGATTTCTTTATTGTTCACACCACATAGCTGTAGAAAAATATCAAAAATAAGAGAAAAATATCAGTCCTAGTTCACTAAGCTGCTCCACATACTGATGAGCTGAATGTTAATCTGCATGTAAGTGTGCTGCATGGATTCACTCTTTCAGATTCTAAGAATATCATTGCAAAAACCTACTGCAAGCAATGCTTAGCTACCTTAAACTGGAGTGAGGCATATTTCTGTTAATCTGACATTCTGCGCTGCACAGAAAGAGATGCTGCTCTGTATCTCTGGGTTACCTCAAAATGACCTTTCCAAAGTTGTAAATCCATCTCATCGATTGGGTAAGTGGGTCAGTTCAGACCTTTTTTTTCCTAAGAACTATTGTTCGAGGGAAAACTTGAGGGCAGGTTAACTGTTGTTCTTGCAGAAGATGTAAAGCATTGAAGGAGATAAATTAAATGGAGTTAAAATTATTATCTTAAAGAATATGAATATGTTCAGTTTGCAGACTACAATGTGCGCATCTTTGGTACACAAGAATTGATTTCATCTGCAGTGCAAGGTGCTCCTAAGTATAAAATAGAGGATTTAAGAAATTAATCTAGACAAAATCTCAAGTACATTTCTTTCTCAATTGTGAAATAGGAAAAGCCCAGAAGGTTTCATGTTGACTAGGGTTCACATCATTTTTGAGCTGCTTCCCATTTATAGTTTTTTTGTTCTGCGACAATGCTCCTAAAATCCTTAATGAAGGACGAGATCCATCCAAACATCTCTTGTGAATCTCGATTCTGTGGCTCCCCAAACTTAACCTATCAGAAACATTGACAGAAGCAAATCAAACTTTTTTAACATTGAATGGTAACCACACAATTTTCAGTTGAATAAAATGTGTCACAATTAATATTACCAAGATAGAACTGTAGAGCTTCTTCATTTCATCACATTGTTTGGTCAAGTCTGACAATTTAGCTTCGTATTTTTGAATTATGTCCTGGAAACAAAATAAGAAAAGATATTTGATTCCAAAATATTTTGCCAGCAACAAGACCGCAGGAAACTGGAGAAAGTCTTTTCTTGCGGCCAAATCCATCTTTTAATTCCAGTCGTCATCCTGCTGGTTTTATATTATCGTGATGAAGGCTTATGTTACCTCATTATTTTTATTTGGAAATTCAGGAGTGCTCCAAAGTGGACAGAACCACGTATGGCTTTAAATTTAATCGTTAAGAGGAGACATAGTTTCAGTTTGATTTCTGAATTCTGTAAGTGGTGCTGGATCCTCTGTAAATTTGTTTATATGCATTAAACGAGACCTTTAAAATGCTGAAGGTGAACAGTTCAATGTCTTAGATAACAAGGATAGAAGGGAGAAGAAATGATCATTTGTATTTTTTTATATAATTTTTGTGGCTTCTGTTGCAATGAGGAATGAGGGGAGAGGACACCTTACGTAAGAATATCAAGAAAGTGACAAATTGATAAGCCTGTGGTATAACCGTTACTTCCAAAGAGTTCTGTTTCAAACAACTCAATGCAGGCTAAGGGAATGACTGAATAGATAAAGGATCTTAGGGATCAGAGGCACCTGGAGGTATTTTGGACAGCTGAGCCAATTCTTATTGAACACCATGCCTCAGGTATTTGTTTTTATTACCACAAACATGACCCACTGAAAATTTAAGAATAGAAATAATGGCCTTCTGAAAGCTTGAAGAAATGAGCTTGTTCGGTATTACACTCTCTAATCTGATAGACAATTAAGGAAATAAGAAAGGCATCTTTTTATATGGCACATTTCACAACCTCGGGCACCTCAAAACATTTAACATTCAATGGAATACTTTTTTGAAGTGTGGTTAGTGTTCAAATATAGAAAACACAGCAATTAAATTGCAGGTAGCAAGCACCCTTGAGTAAAAATGTGACTTGGCCAAATATTTTATTTTACTTATGTTGATCAATGGATAAATACTGGCAAGGACACTGGGAAGAACATCCTCAAATTATTGTCAGAGTGAATTTAATATTGATATAAATTTTGAAAGTAAGAGCATCTCGTAAAAAAAACCAACATTTTTATTGTAGTTTGTTCTTCAATACAATATCTTTGCATTAATGCATAAATCATGGAATAGATTTTATTGAAAGATGCCCTCTAAAAGGCACATTCATGCTGAAATTACTACGTAGACATATTAAATCAGACATATTCATAAACTTGGAATTACCTTTAGCCCTTTGTAGAACTGTCCATCTGGGCTCATCTTGTTCCTGGATTTGAACACTTTTGTGTGCAGACGAATTTTTACCAATTCATTCTTCAGTACTGTTGCAGTTAGAAAAGACATAAGATCTCAAACTGTACTTATTTGGACTGTGATAAAATAGCATGTAAAAAACTATCAACAATAATGAAAATTCCACCATTTGACAAGTCTGAAATTTATATTAAATTTACCCCACATCAGTTCCCATCTTCAGCTCCTGTGTATAGAGTGAGACGGTGCCACTAGATTAAGAATACCCATAGACTAAGCTTCAGAATTGTTTTCTGATCGGTAAAACTATTTAAGTAAAGTAAATGCAGGATTAGTGTAAGTGAAATTATATTTGGATGAGCAACCTACTGCATACATTGCAGCTCATGTATAACAGGTGAAATGTGAACAAGTTTATGCAGTACAACATCAGCCAAATGTACAGAACAGCAACAGGTGGACCTAACGCACTGAAAAAGATATCACAACGTGTGAATTTTGTCTGTCTCAGTTAATTCAGTTCCAATTTAATTTCATAACAATTAACTAATGCCATTGTCTTATTGAAAATCTCACTCAATTCAGATCCTTGGAAATTTCACTAGATCAATAAAATTCATGCCCTATTGTTGAAAATAAAAGGTTAATGTGTCTTTTTTTTTAACAAGCATATGGAAAAATAAATCATTTGCAAGTTTATCTCTTGGAATGGCAGCATCTGTGAAAAGAAATCAGAGTTAACATTTCAGGTCCAGTGACCTTTCCTCAGAGCTGATGGTAGCCAAGAAAATGTCAGTTTGTATGCAGAAGGTAGGATGGGGGTTGGGGTTAAGGAGTAAACGACAGGTGAGGATAGAGAGAGAAAAACAGTTGGATAGAAAAAGGAGTAGATAACGATCTGACTAGGAGGGTAAATAGCTGTTAATGGAGACTGTTAGTGGCTAACAACAGGTAGTATGTAACAGCAGACAATGTGATAACAAGGCCTGGTGTGTGGGGTTGGGGTATAGGACATTAGAGAGTTCAGGCCCTAAAGTTACTTAACTCGACATTGAGTCCAGAGGGCTGCAGGGTCCCCAAGCAGAAAATGTGATGTTGTTCTTCCAGCTTGCACTGAGCTTCACTGGAACACTGCAGCAAGTCTGAGACAGAGACGTTGGCGAGGGAACAGGGTGGTGTGTTAAAATGGCAGGCAACTGGAATGGTCTCAGGGTTCTTCACTTCTTCCTGGAGTAAAGGCCTGAACCATCCCCACCCACCCACCACCACCTTCCACCACTTGGCTGAGCTCATCCTCACCCTGAACAACTTCTCTCTTAACTCCATGTATTTTCTTCGGATAAGAGGGGTGGCCATAGGTGCCCGCATAGGCCCCAGTTATGCCTGTCTCTTCATGGGGTACGTGGAGCATTCCTTGTTCCATTCCTATTCCGGCCTCCACCCACAAATCTTTCTCCGATATATCGATGATACCATCGGCACCACCTCCTTCTGTCTTCCGGCATTGGAAAAGTTCATTGATTTCACTTCCAATTTCCACAAAATCCTCACTTTCACCTGGTCTATCTCTGACTTGTCCCTTCCCTTCCTTGACATCTCTGTCTCCATTCTGGGGATAGACTGGCCACTAATATCCACTATAAACCCACCAACTCCCACAGCTACCTGGACTATTCATCCTCGCTTCCTGTAAAGACTCCATTTCACTCTTCCAGTTCCTCCATCGCTTATGTTCCGATGAGGCTAACTTTGACAAGGGAGTGTCTGAAATGTCCACTTCTCCTTCCTCAACCGAGGATTCCCAGCTCTGTTGTCGACAGGGCCCTCAACCTGGTCCGACCCATCTCCCGCATGTCTGCCCTCACTCCTTCTCTTCTCTCCCGCAACAGCGATTGGGTTCCCCTTGTCCTTACCTATCATCCCACCAGCATCCACGTCCAGAAGATCATCAAATGCCATTTCTGCCACCTCCAGTGAGATACCACCACCAGACACACATTGCCCTCTCCTCCTTTTTCCACCTTCCATAGAGACCATTCCCTCCTGGACAGACTGGTCCACTCTTCTTTCAGTCCCAACAATCCCCCCCATCCTCCCCTGCAATTGTTGAAGGTGTAACACCTTCCCTCTCCCTCCTCAGTTTCCAAGGGCCAAACATAGCTTCCAGGTGAAGCAGCACTTCACCCGCAGTTCCCACAATCTAGTCTACTGCATTCGCTGCTCACAATGTGGTCTCCTCTACATTGGGAAAATGAAGCATAGACTGAGTCTCTACTTCGCAGAACATCTACGTTCTGTTCGCAAAAAAGACTCTGGGCTTCCAGTTGCCTACCACTTTAACAAACTACTTTGTTCCGTGGCCAACATCTCTGGCTCAGGCTTGCTGCAGTGTTCCAGCGAAGCTCATCGCAAGCTGAAATAACACCTCATTTTCCTCTTAGGGGCAAGCAGCCCTCAGTAATTTTAGGGCCTGAACTCTCCCATGTCCCAGCCTCAACCCCACACACCAGACTTTGTTATCATATACCCTGCCATTACACACTAACTATTGTTAGCCCCGAACAGTCCTCATTCACAGCTATTCACCCTCCTAGCCAGATCGTGATCCATTCCTTTGTCTGTCCAACTGTTGCTCTCTCTCTTTGGGCTCTATCTTCTCCTATTTTTAACTCCTTATACTCTCTCAGCACCCTACTTTCTGCGTAAAAACCAACATTTTCCTAGCTACCATCAGTTCTGAGGAAGAATCACTAGTCCCGGAAACGTTAACTCTGATTTCTCTTCACAGATACTTCCAGACTTACTGAGCTTTTCCAGCAACTTCTTTTTGTGTTCCTGATTTACAGCATCCACAGTTCTTTTAGTTTTTATCTCTAGGAATATCTGGATTTCATTTGGAAGAGAATCCAAGTTGATAGCTGGGATAAAAAACCCCTAGATTTAGCATGGCCGAAACTTGCACAACACTGTAAAGTTCAGAAGGAACAAATGGGGAAACAATAATGCAATGCTCATTATTGTTTGGTGATAGTGCAGCAGGAAGTAATAATGTCTGCATGTTCAGCATTACCAACAGGGAGGCATTTAGCAATCCTGAAGCTGTTTGTGATATCCATAAAAGATTTGTATCGATAGTGGTTGTGCTTTTAACAAGAGGATGGTTGAAAGGTTCATATGCAACATAAGTTACTACAAAAATATGAACATGGCATTTAAACAAATAGATTTCAATATTTATATCACCAGAGGAATTTAAAAGCAGAAAGTGATTTTGTGGAATCTGGCAGGGTGGATTAATTCCATGCTACACATCACTATAACATGCTTGGACATTTAACACTTCTGTACATTTTAACACAGAGAAAGAGCAGTTTGACTAAAATTGTAGATGTGTCAAAAGGATAATCAACCCAATCTGTGCTTTCTGCTGTTGGTTATTTTTAATTTGCTTTTCATTTGATGCTCTTATTTCTTTTTCTTAGGCCACATTTCCTCCAAGGCCACTCCTGATTCTTAGTAAGTGGTGGCATAACATAAAAATACTGATGTCAACAGCAGCATCAATCTCTTCAGAACACCAAACATAATGTGAAGTATCTGAGCAATGCCCTATCAAAAACATTCATGCAGAGATCCAAAATGAAAACAGCAAACTGACCATATCCACCCTATGTGGAGATCTGTACTTGGAACATAATTAGTAAGTTAATAAAAAACTAGGAACAGATGCAACAACAATTGAGTATTCTTCCATTTTGAAATGACAGTGAAAATGTTCTTTATCAGCACATTTATAAATTTACTACAAATAATGTACCTTCCCCTAAGGTACTTAGAAAACCCACTGTCAATATATCACTTTGCCCCATGGTAATAGAATTTTACAAAATCGCTTCATATTTGAAAAGATCACATACCATCAACTTCAGCAATCAAACCTTTGATGGAATCTAAAGAGAAGAGAAACAGGTCATTATGGAGGATGCAGCCATTGTACAGATATTGCTCCCTTTAAATTTAGTAGAGCTTTTAAAATGTTTCCACTTACCTCCAGGTACATCTTCAAATTCTGTAAGCTCTTGGTGAAAGTTTGCCAAGGTTGGGTCTTGTGAAATAATCTGCTCCACGAGAGCATGAAGTAAGGTGAACTTCCTGTCCTTGCCTCGTAACTGGACTACCTATAAACAACAGATGGCACAAAGATCAGCGCCTGGGCCTTAACTATTTGCAGTGTACGTGATTTTGATGATGAGACTGAGTGCAGTACTTCTTGATGATATATGCAAAGTTTGGTCAGGAAGTAAGCTGTGAGAAGGACACAAAGAGATACAGTGGGGGAAAATATTGTAGAGCAAAGGATGAAGTTTCCCCTTTTGCTGGGAAAAATAGAAAAATGGAAAGACAGAATATTTTTTGAATGATGCCATACTGGACTTAATATCCACGGACATAGATCACAGAAAGTTAATATACAGCCACAGCAATTAGGAAAATGGTAAGTACATCTTTAGTGCAAAAGGATTGGAGTTTAAGAAGGTTTACTTCAATTCTTTTGGGCCTTGCAGAGATTACACTTGGACACAATGTATAGTTTTAGTCTCTTTTTTAAAGAAGGCATGCTTGCCTAGAAAAGTACGATAAGACTGCTCTGACCTGATTTCTGGAATGATTGGGTATTCTATGAAGGTAGATCTCGCAAACTCAGCCTATTCATTTTCCGGTTTAGAAAATTGACACGTAAGTCCAGTAAAATTAAAACTTCCTGAGGGACTTGGATGTGATGTCTAGAACAAACAGCTATAATAAGGTCCGCCATTTAGGACTAAGATGAAGAGAAATTACTTGACTCAAGGGTAAGAAATGTTTAGAATGCTTTATACCGAAGAGCTGTGAATACTTAGTCATTAGGTATATTAAATGCAAAGACTGATTCATTTTTGGATATTAAGGGGATCAAGAGTTATGGTGATAGTGTGGTTAAGGTAGATGATCAGCCTGAGTGGTGGAGCAGGCTGGAAGGGCTCAATGGCATAATCCATTGTTATTACATGTGATAATACTAAAAAATTAAGGTTATTTTTAAGTCCCGTCCAGACGAAAATATATCATGTTTTTAAAATTAATTAGTTTGAACTTGATAAAATTGTGCATTACCATTCAAATCAGACAAATCTACAAGAATGCTCAGCAAAAGAAAAGCACAGTAATTTCCATGTAAAAGGAAAGCATTTGTTCCTTTCACTATATATAGAAATATTCACAAAGATTTCCTTTATTGTATTTCCAAGAAAATTACAAACTCATTCTTTTCAAACATATTTGTGATTCTATAAAAAATATCGACATGTGGAAATCTTCATAAATCTATTTGTTAATTTACTGTTTACAGCAGCAGAACAATTTTTACTTATGCATACTGACAGTTAAGTAAGGTATCTATAATTTACAAATTGTGACATTTTAATTAAGTTCATAATTGAATCTATGTGGTATACTACTTGCTATCAATGCTTTAAATGGTTTTAAATATTTGCCTATTTGTAATCATGCCCAAAAGAATGTATTGATTTACAGACTGCAACATTTTTCAGCCTCATCTTGCATCGATAGTTCTTGCATATTAAAAACATAAATGTTATTATGAAACACTTATTTGATTCTGTTTATTGAATGATCTGCACTCACATTCAATTATTCTTAGTTTGTTCTAGCAAGTGGGTCTAACTAGTCAGTCACAAACAGAACAAGGTAGTGGTATAGTAGAATTGTCACTGGACCACAGACCCCAGGCTCACGCTCCGTGGGTCATAGGCCCAAATCTGATCATGCAGGTGAAGAAATCTGAATTTAAATAATAAACTGGGAATTAAAAGTGAGTTAGCTGTTGTAAAAAGAATCTGGTTCCCTTTCAGGGAAGGAAAAAAAAATCTGCCATTTGGTGACTCCAGATTAATGGCATTACGCTTGACTCTTATAATCCCTACAGTGTGGAAGCAGACTACTTGGCCCATCAAGCCCAAGAAAGCATCCCATCCAGACCCAGCCCCCTATCCTATTTCCCACGGCTACTCCACCTAGCCTGCACATCCCTGGACACTAAGAGCAATTTAGCATGGCCAATCTATCTAACATGCATATCTATGAACTCAGGGAGGAAACCCACACAGGCACAGGGAGAATGTGCAAACTCCACACAGACAGTTGCCTGAATTGAACACAGGTCCCCAGCAGTGTGAGGCAGCAGTGCTAACCACTGAGCCACCATGCCAATCTTAAAGGACTTAGCATACTATAGAGTTATATCTAACAGTGAAAACCACCAGTCTAATGAAAGGAATTAAACTGACTGAATAGACAACCAACCATCAGCAGATCAAAGCACCAGAAACTACAATGGCCCACATGAGCCTGTTGACTGTGCAAAGACCTCTTAGTAGCATCTGGGGACTTACGCCAAAATTAGGGAAACTGGCCCAGAGACTAATCTATCAAGTAATCATACCCGCAGAATCATACCTTATAAACAATACACAGAAGTGATGGGCTAGGGGTATACGGTGGGAGGGTGTTGACCTGGGAATCTTCAACTTTAAATCCAGACTCATGAGTTCTCATGTCATCAGATCGTGTATGGGGAAGGAAATCTCCTGATGCTTACTACCTACTGCCTCCCTCTCATTTCTTCTTCATGTTGGACACATCTTTGGAGGATGCACTGAGGGTGGTGGAAGTCCAGATGAACTCTTTGAAGAGGACTTCAATGTCCATCACCAACAGTGGCTCGACAGCACCATGATTGACTGAGTTAGCTGAGGCTGACAGGGCATAGCTGCTGGATTGTACATGTGGCAAGAGTAAGGGAGTACAAAGAGGGAAGGATGCACTTGAGCTGGTCGTCACCAATCTATCTGCAACATATGCATCTGTCCACTGCAATACTGGCAGCAGTAACCATTGCACAGTCCCTGTGGAGACAAAGTGCCACCTTTACACTGAAGATGCCCTTTATTATCTTGTGAGGCATGGTCACCATGCTGAATGGGATAGATTTTGAATATATCTAGCACTTCAAATCCGGCCGCTGTGGGCCATCAGCAGGAGCAGGAATGGATTCAATCACAATCTGTAACTTCATGATTCAATGTATACCCTGCACTGTCATTACTATTAAGCCAGGGAGTCAACTCTAGTTGAATGAAGAGTACAGGAAAGCAGGCAAATCTAAAAATGAGGTGTAAACCTGGTAAGACTATAAAGTGTCACTATCTGCATGCTGAACGGAAAAAGCAATATGCAACAGAGAGGTAAGCAATTCTACATTAAGCGGATCAGCTCTAAGCTCTGCAGTCCTGCCTTATCCTACACAAGTGCCAGACAATGACCACCTCCAATGAGACAGAATCCAACCATGGTCTCTTGACATTCAACAGCATTACCGGAGTTGCAGCCCCCTTAGGGGGCGGTCTCCCGCCTGAAACTGAACTGGACCAGCCAAATAGACATTGTGGCTACAACAGCAAGTTAGAGGCTAGGAATCTTCCAGCGTGTAACTCAGCTCCCAACACTTTAAAACCTATCCTAGTTTATCTTTAGTTACAAGTCAAGAATTTGATGTAATTCTCTCAATTTGACTGGATAAATGCAGTTTCAACAACACAAAAATAACTCAATACAGCATTCAAGACAAAGCATCTTGCTTGATTGCCAACCCATCCAATACCTTATACATTCACTTCTTCATCATTGATACACAGTGGCAGGAGCATATACCATCTACAAGATGTACTGCAACAACTTAAGTTCTTTAGACAGTACCTTCTAAATCCATGTACTCCACCAACTAGGAGGACAAGGACAGCATATACATGGGAATACTACCACCTGCAATTTCCGATTCAAACCACTCCATTGTGATTTGGAATTATATCACTGTTTCTTCACTGTCACTGGCTCGAAATTCTGGAACTCCCCTCTAGCAAACAGAATTGTGCCTTTCACTTCAAAGGAAGAAGAATACACAGTAGGGAATTCTTGCTAAAACTACAAAAGGCACTAGTTGGACCATAGCTGGAATACTATGGACTTATTTAGTCCCCTCATCTAAGGATATACTGACACTGGGGGCAGTCCAGAGGAAGTTCAATGGGTGGATCTTAGCAGGCACTGATGGGCTAGATGATGAGACATTGTTTCTTTTTCTGGTACAGTGTAGGACAAGACAGTAACATCTCAGAGTAAGGGCTGACCATTTTGGACAGTGATGATGAAGAATTTCCTCTCTGAGGGTTGTGAATTTGTGGAATTCTTTACAGCAGAGGGTTGTTGAGGCTGGCCTATTAAGTATATTCAATGCTGAGGTAGTCAGATTTTTAATCAGCAAACAAATTGAGGTTATAGGGAAAAGGGAGGAAATTACAGTGGAAGATTATCAGACCAGCCATGATCTCATTAAATGGCAGCGTGGTTACAATGGGCTGAATGGCCTACTTCTGCTCCTACATTTTATGGTCTTACAGGAAGCCTGACTAAAAAATAACTCCAATATGATATTTCAATGACCTATTTTAATGAAACTACTCCAGGTATTTCCACAAAACGTGAAATAAATTCATTTTCCAGAATCCTTCAAAATGTTCATCCTCTAAGAAATATTAAATATGAAGTGCCTTTGTAATATTGGGTTTAATTTCGACAGCTGCTGTGTTGAAATCTGAACTTCTTTCCCTGGATCATCAGGATTAGAAGGTCAATAACATAATAGCGATGCAATTGTTCCTGTTAGGGACAATAAGAGAATGGGAGAATCAGACTATAATCAATGATGAGAGATTATTGACTAGTCTGTTTATTTCCATGGATGATATCTGCTCTGCTGAGTTTTTCCAGATTTTTTAATGCTCAGATCAGAATAAATCACACCCTCATCAGGTGTACTACAACACAGGATTTTTTTCAGATACATTTGAATAATGTATCTGCGGGTTCGGAGGAGGTTCATGAGCATGGTCGCAGGAATGAAAAACTTAACAGATGAGGGACGTTTGAGGACTCTGGGTCTACACACGATGAAGCTTAGAAGGATGAGGGGATGCGGGGGGATCTAACTGAAACTTACAGAATACTGAATAGCCTGGACAGAGTGGATGTTGGGAAGATGTTTTCATTGGTAGGAGAGACGAGGACCGAGGCCGCAGCCTTAGAGTAAAGGGAAGACCTTTTAGAACGGAGATAAGAAGAATCTTCTTCAGCCAGAGAGTGATGAATCCATGGAATTCACTGCCACAGAAAGCTGTGGAGGCAAGGTCATTGAGTATATTTAAGACGGAGATAGATAGGTTCTTGACTTTCAAAAGGATCAAGGGTTATGGGGAGAAAGTGGGAGAATGGGGTTGAGAATCTTATCAGGGATGACTGAATGGCAGAGCAGACTCGATGGGTTGAATGGCCTAATTTCTGCTCTTATGTCTTATGTCTAATAATTGGAACTATTTAGCAGGAAAGTGCACTGACCATGAATCGGCAAATACTGCATTTCATACCAGTGGTCAGTTTCTCAAGGTTAGCATATGGCAGAATGAGATCTCAGCTTACCTTTGTCAGGGAGGAAAGACAAAATCCCTTCACTTTTTTTTTGCCAGCGTGTGTGTTCAGGAAGTTACCAATTGCGAGGAGATACTCGAGCACTAAAACAAACAACTTACTCTCTAGTAACTGAGAGCATGCTTTGATTTTCTGTATTATCAGCTGAAACAAAAGCAAGATAAAAAAAGATTAATGGGACGTCATGCCACTCAAAACTCAGAATCACTGATAACACTTCAGAGACAGATCACCATTTCATCTGGCCAAAGTCAAAGCTGTGTAAAAATGATGAACTCAAACACAGAAGTTAGAATGCAGAATTATTAAAATAAAATAATCAAGTTGAACTGGAATTTAAATGATAGACATGGTTCTTTATCGACCACAGGACTATAAACTATGTCATAGTTTTCCCAAAAACTAGCATGACGTACTATCTTAATTTGAAATGTAATAACAGAGGTTCATCCAGAACTAATTTATGTATACTACAAATCTCAACAAAATGAAAATCCAGTGTGTGGAAGTGGAAACAGCACTATATTCACTGCAAATCCGACAGAAAATATAAAAGCATCACAGTTGCTGCACCGATAGCACTACCAGATGCTTGGGCTCCTCCCCAGAGTATTAGTGATGAACAGTAACAACATCTAGCAATGAAGGCTACGGCAAGATGTGTAACAGATTTGGGCAACAAGTGTGGTGAGGACCATTTCAACATTGAGATTATTTCGCTCCATCTTTTAAGCTTTTCACAAGCAGCATGGCTGAGATTCTCACTAGTCAGCAGTGTGATGTCAATCAATTGGTAAATGGCTTACCAACACCACAACTCACCTCATTAACATTCAGCCTCCCATTTTACCAAACTCACCAGACAAGTTCAACTCAACAAGGAAACCAAAGCTGGTGAATTCAGCTTGCTGCTTGCCCTGAGTGACCTCCATGTTGGAAACCAAGCACCAACACCTTAGGGCATGCCATGGCACCAGACACATGCACCCCACATCCATGGACATTGGCTTTTGACATGTGCCAGCCATTCAGATGCCTCCTGGCACTTTTGTGATCCACTTACATTTCTGCCCTTTAGTGCTGCACCCGCAACTCTCGCTGTAATGTTGCAAGGACACTCTGTGCTCAGGGACAGACACCCAGCTCATGGACTGGGCCAGGCTGCATTTTCAGGTTCTTCGCTCACTGTGAAGAGCACTCACTCGCTCAGTCTATCTGGATGTTCACAGCATGCCCGCCTTGCATTGCCAGACCTTGCCACTTTATGCTTTGCCCTCTCAGCCAGAGATACCAGACTCACGGCACTGTTGTTCTGTTTTGCTACAGCAGACACAAAAACCAGGAAGCTTGTCAGAGTTGTCAGCAGGCCTCAGTTAAGTCAAGGGGGAATATCCTTCATTCTGTGGTTCTGAGCACCATAAGTCAAGGGCAGCCTGATACCAGTTTGGGCCCTGCTCAGCCTGGTCAGAGTAAGGATCCTCTCCTCATAAGGGGTGAAGAGCCAAAGGTCAAGCAAACCCACCACTTGTGTTGACCTCTTCTACCCTAGTTTGGGCTAAGTGCAGTTGGGGAGGTGTCCGAAACTTCAGGCCATGCAGAGGGTATGGAGGATTTGCGGTATTGGGAGTTGGATGGATGACAGGGAGTGAAAGAAGATATTGGTGACAACAGCGAGAGTGGTAGATCATGAGCCTTGGTGAGAGGTGGGTACATTAGCAAAGATAGAGTGAGTGTGTAATAGCAGAGAGAAGATGGTGGCCCTTACAATGGCAGAGTGGTCAAGATCATTACCCTTTTTACTACAGTACTGCACAGTCCTCCAGATGGCTGAGATTGCACTGACCTGGATGGCAACCTCTAATCAGGCTGGCATGGTCTGGTGTTGTCGCTTCCACTGCCTGTCCTAGAGGTAATGGACATTGTGTCCTTGCACCACTCCATCCACCAAGACACCAGTCCGTCCCTACAAAGCTGGGTGCCTTCCTGTCTGGGCAAACTTCAGGAACCAGGCAGGGCAGGTCTGGACTAATAATACTCATCTGGGTGCACAATGGCCTTTTAAATATGATACAACCTCCAGGGATGCTGGTCTATTCTGGGATTTCCTGATAGGGTCAAGTTGTTTTGAGTATGCAACTAGCAGAATTGGGTTAGAACCCAATTTACTGGCATTTTTTGAAGGAGTAACATATGCTATGGATACCAAGAGCCCATTGACGTACATTATTTGGATTTCCACAAGGGATTTGACAAGGTTCCATATGAAAGGCTGTTGTGTTAAGTAGAAACACATGGTGTAGGGGTTGCATATTCAGAAGATTGACTGGCTAGCAGGAGGCCTAGAGTTTGCATAAATGTGTCTTTTTCAAATTAGCAGGATGTGATAAATGGGCCCCTCAGAGATCTGTGCTGGGTCCCCAGTTTTTTTTTTACAATTTATACCAATGACTTAGATGAGCACATCAAAGACAAATATAGGTAAATATGTATGTTGTGAAGATACATTATGAGGATGCGGACAGATATAGACAGGATAAGTGAGTAAATCTAGCAAAGGGAATATAATTTAGGAAAATGTGAAGCTGTTCACTTTGGCAGGAAGCACTAGAAGTAGAGAATTATTGAAACCACTGCAGAATTCCAAGGTTCAGAGGCATCTAGGTGTTCCAGCACATCAGTTGCAAAAAAAAAGCATGCAGGTACAGCAAATGATGGAGAAGCCTAATGAAATGCTATCCTTTATTACAAGAGGAGTTGAACAAAAAAGTGAGGATGTTATGTTTCATTTGTACAGGGTTGTGGTGATCTTGAATAATGTGTGCAATTTTGATCTCTTTATTTATGCAAAGATATAAATTCTTTCGAGGCGGTTCAGAGAAGATTTACTAAATTAATAGCTATAACAAGTGGGTTATCTTATGAAGCAAGAATAGGCAGGCTGAGCTTATTTTCACTGGAGTTAGAAAAGTGAGGGATGAGCTAATTGAAGTTTATAAGGTTCTGAATGACAAGAAGGACATGGAAAGGATGTTTATTCTTGTAGGTGAGCCCAAACAAGAGAAAATGTTTTAGGATTCCCCCTTTTCGCCAGAGATGAGTGGATTTTCTCTCTCTTTTTCTCAAGGTTTGTGCAGCTTTGGAATTCTCTACGTCAGAAGGTGGTTGAGGAAGATCACTAAGTGTTTTTAAGGTGGAAAACGATTAATTTTTGTTTGGCAAGGGAACTGAAGGCCATCATGGAAATGTGAGAATGTGTAATTCAGAACACAAACAGATCAGCCATAATCTTACTGAATAGCACCGCAGGCTTGATGGTCTAATTCTGCTCCTTGATGGTCTAATTCTGCTCCTAATTTGTATGTTTGTATATAATCTGACCCTTCTCTTCAGAACTGGGGTATGTTGAATTCATCCCCTTTTATGCCTGACACGCTGCAGTACACCTATCCTTCTGAAACAGCATGTCAATTGACTTTTTCCATGGGCTGGAATTGATGTGTCATTGCTGAGTGTATGATTTGAATTTGGGGGGCATGGTCATGGCTGCCAATAAAGCATGGTTGATGCTCAGCCCAGGGCTTTTCCATCCAGCCCTGAGGTGGTCCCCATAATGCAAGAGGTGAGTGGGTAACAAAATGGTCACTCCACCAACCACAGACAAGTAAAAATGTGAACACCCAATTGACCCTATTAAAAGCTCAATCAACCCCAGCAGTCTACTTCCCACACCATAATATGCGTGATATTTATAGGTGGATGGGAGTGGGTAACCTATTTGTTTAAAAGAACAATTTTAAGAGAGTAGGAAGAAGATGGGGTTTAACATCTTTGGGAGTGCATCACTTGGTGCATCAAAGGAACCCCTTTACTCTGACAAGATAGCTCCACCCTTCCTCATTCCCCCACACAACACCCACCCCCTCCCCCAAGACTTTAAAACTTTCCTTTTTGTCTCAGGCTGTTAACCGAAGATCAACTTTCCATCTGGGAACTCTGCCTATGAGCAATGTCCTCTACATTCACTAATATACTAAAAAGTTGTCAAACCTCCGCCTTGTTATTCTAAAACTCAAAATTATTTAACGTGATTTTCTTTTACGACTCTTCAATGCTTACACTGGCCATATTGTGTGGCAAATCATGGAAGAAGCATGTTTGCGTTATGAACAGCATCGCTGTGAATGTGAAGTGGGCACGCATCTTCAAGTATAAGCAGTTTCTGCAGATTTCTTGCCAAAAAATAACAGTTGGTTCCAAAAGCAACTTTAATAAGGAGAAGCTGTGCATTTGATTTCGTCATTAAAGTATCTTTGCACAGGTCTTGTTACAGCCACAGTATTCTGAAGATTAATATTTCATTGCGCATAGATTTGCTGTGAAATCCATTCAGCATGGACTACTTCATATTCCAATTTCTAAAAAAAATTAGTAAAATATTTCTCCCTCGTCCTTAGAACATTGTGTTTGATTTTAAGTAATAGAATCATCAATCAGGAATGAATCTGAGACAACTGAGCCTCACTGCCACTCTGAACCTACTTACCACCATGTTCACTTACTGAATTCTCTCATGGTGGGTTTGCTAGCTACATTCAGAATTATTACTAGACAAGAATTTCTTTACTTGCTATCTGTAGCAGTAACATGAATATTCTTTTGACAATATCTGCAGTTCAGTATTTCTGAATGTTAGAAACATTTCCTGAATAAACACACCAATTTGGAAATACAAAGCTGAGCAGTTGCTCATGAATGCATCTGTGGCAATGATGCATTTTGCAGCCACAGGAACTCTAGTTCATTCAAAATATATTAAGTACATCTTTCAGAATGGATTACTATTGTTCTGTTTTAGATGATATTTGGTCAAAACTTCCCCTTCAACACATTAAAGTAGAAGTATCACCTCTTAAAGGATTGATTTAAATACCAAACCACTTTAATATCTTGCCTGCTTGTGGGGTCAGTTAACTCAGTTAGTTTGTTATGCAAAGTAATGCTAATAGTGTGGGTGCAACTCCTGCACCAGCTGAGGTTACCATGAAGGACTCTCCCTCTCCACCCCCTCAGCTCAGATGTGGTGGCCGTCAGGTTAAACCACCACCACAGGTCTCTCCCTAACAATAGAGCAGTCCAATGGTCTG